TCTTTGAGGGGGGCAGCGTTTGGGAGCTGGTTCCCCGGTGCTGCGAACTAACGTCGTGGCACTACGACAGTCGTGGCAACAAATCTCTCTCCTCCTCAGCTGCGTGGGTCTGGGTCACTAACACGCTGTGACTGCGGTAGTGAATTAGGATTGCGCTCCCGCGATGAGACGCGCTCCGTCGGGACGTGACTAGAAAAGTGGCGGCTGGGGGGGCGGGGGCGGTTGTGCAGAGCGAAAGGGAGAAAGGAAGGGCAGTTTGGGGAGGTAGTGAGAGGCAGACCACCCTTAAGAGCCCCGTGTTTTAATAAAAGGCAGTCAAGTCTCTTAGTGGAGATGATCTCTTAGATCCACAAGATTTTTGCAAAAAAAAAAAAAAAAATTTAATTGCAAGCTTTTGGGCACAAACACCCTTCATCAGGCATCAGAGAAAAGATTGTAGAAGTTCTGGGTAAATTCATATTTCATAGGATTTCACAGAGGAGTCAATAGATGGAAGACTCCTCTGGGCAGTCAGTTCATAGCTGGTATGGAGCCGCTCACCTCCTGCAAGGGCCTGTGATGATGCAGATTGCCTTGAAACAAAAGGCAGGCGCAGCATCTCAGATGGTCGCTTCCTGCTCGGGAAAACGTGAAGATTTCATTAAAAAAATCGGCTAAAATTCAATACCTTCCATGTGTCAGGTATCCAGGTTGTAGCCATATTGTTCTACAGGAAAAGGCAATCAGGACTGGTAGCAGAGATGTGTTTTATTAGGCCAACGGGATGTTTGCAAAACAGATCTTTAATTGCAAGCTTTCGGGCACAAACACCCTTTATCAGGTATCGGAGAAAAGATTGTAAAAGTTCTCCTGGGTAGAAATGAAAGTCCATATTTCATAGGATATCACAGAGGAGTCGATAGATAGAAAACTTGTATTTCTACAAGGAGTAAGCTATCAAACTGAAAGATGGGGCTGATTCTGTCTTTGGGGCTTGCTGATCCCGTGCATCTCCCTCTGAACTTTAATCTCTGTAAACCCCGTTGCCTGTGTTTTACTATACATAACTATATGAAAGTTTATTTACTCAGCAAACTAGAATGATTGCACTTTCACCATTTAATTTTGGTAAAAAATAAATACTGCTAGAGGTGAAGTCTTATTTAAAAAAAAACCACTCGGGTCCAGAGGCTTGGAGTTAGAGTCCCTGCTTGTAAGTAAAACAAGTTACCCAGCACAGACCTTGCCTGTCAAATCAACTGTAAGATTAGGGAATATGTGAGCATGTATTTTATAGCCTTCTGAAAGCAAATGTTTTTCCTTGCAGGTTATTACATTGGCATGTGTTTTGCAGCACCTGAGAAACAGCTTTGCTATTTTTACCTGGCTCCAGAAGGCTGGAAAATATTCTTCTTTCTGGCTGTTGTTTTTCCAACGATCACCAGCATCCTGGCGTATTACTGGTCACGGAACGGTTGGGATAATCATCCTTTAGCTCGGACGCTCGCAGTTCACGCACTCCCGCAGTCCAGTTGGAGGGCAGTGGCTTCTTCCATCAATACAGAATTCAGGAGGATTGACAAGTTTGCTACTGGCGCCCCTGGAGCAAGGGTGATTGTCACAGATACCTGGGTGATTAAAGTGACCACGTACTGTTTACATGTTGCCCAACAGCAAGACATTCATCTCACGGTGACAGATTCGAGACAGCATGAACTTTCACCAGATTCAAACATGCCCGTACAGTTCCTCACCATCAATGTTGCCAGCATTAACCCATATGTGAAGGCTTTTGATATCCGGTAAGATAAATGACCTTTGTCCTATTATGTCATGTATCTGTTATGCAGTGATGATCCTGCGTTGTATAGCTTGTCTGTGCTTCCTTGACAAATCCCAAGACTGCTAGCATTTTTCCAGCTCCATTTTGCTAACTTTCCAGTCTACAGAAGACATTGTCTTCTGGTTCACTGAAGTGCAGCGAAGAAGAGATTGTTTAGAGGGATCCCTACACTAGAAAAGCAAGTTGGGCAGAGGGACCAAATTTTCTATTTGCAGAATGAAGTAGAGAGACCCTGGGTGAGGGGAAGGAAGCAACTGGAGGAGCTTTGGGTGAGGAATGGGAGAGAAAAGGAGTGAAGGGAAAATCTCCTTCCCATCACACACACTGATAAAATGAATGATTTTAACAATATAAGCTCTGAGTTACTGATGATTTCCCTTTCCCTCCTCTCCAAAACCTGACTGTATAATAGCTGCTCTGAAGGTGTCACACCAACATTTTGCTAACAAAACTCATTTAAAGAGGACTGTTGAAAATGGCTTAGGCCTCAAAACAGACCTGACTTCAAATTACAGGTACTCCTCACTTGATGTCATTCGTTGACAACATAACGTTGTTTTGCTATTACATTGCTGGTCTATTAGAGAACATACTCCTTTAAAGTCGTGCAACGTTCAGTTATAACATTGTTTGGCCGCTGCCTGCTAGTAGGTAACTAGTAGAGGTCTGCCAATACGTCGGTCTAATATCGGATCAGCACTGATATAAAGAAAATTTTCTGTATCGGCTATCGGCCCAATGCGGCCGATTAATTTGTCTGATAACTGCCTGTGGACGTGCGCAGCCGCAGCGCAGCACTTAGGCAGTAAGAAGCAGAGCCAGCAGCGTGGAGAGCTGCATGCAGCTCTTAAGTCTGGTGCGGTAGAAGGGGAAGGAGGGAGGGAGGGGTGTGAGGGTGCAGATAATCAGGTGTGGGACAGAAGTGCAGCTTATCGGTGAGGCTGCCCCCCTCCCTAACCACCCCCGAGGAACTGTGCCTCTGTCCGCCCGCAGCTGCAGCTCGCCCCGCGCTTCGCAGATCCAGGGGACACATGCCCCCCCACCTCCCTGGATGAGTCGCTTGCAACTCTGTCCTGTGCCCGTCCCCACCCCGGTTGGTCAGCCCTAGCCCCATTCCCTCCCTCACTGCAGGGGCTTTGATCTGCCCCACCCCAAAGCCCCTTCCCTCCCCTTCCACCACATCAGACTTACCAGCTGGATGTAGCACTTCAAGCTGAAGATCTGTGTATTGCAAATTGGATTGGTATCAGCCAATATGCCTCTAACAATTGGCTATCAGTATCAGCCCCCAAAATGTCTATCAGTGCACCCCTAGCAACTACTGTGATGTAATTGGATTTGCTTAACATCATTTTGCTTCAAGTGGCATTTTTCAAGAACATAACTAGGTTGTTAAGCGAGGAGTATCTGTATCTTTATGCTAGTTCGTGTCCTCTGGATTGTAAAAACCCGTTTTGGTTTTTGTAACACTGGGCTCAGTTGCTGGTTTTATTTTCTAAGTCACTGGTTATGGAAGAGCTGGATGAAACTACATATTCTGGCCAACATGTCATTAGTAAAAACTGGTGCTAACATTCCCATGAGTGCGGTCTTCTGAAGGAGCTAACAAACAGTGGTCTCCTAGTTTTTTTTATTACTACATGTTCCTATAAGGGCATTTTAAAATATGCACATTTGGACATGTCTGTTTGCCTCTCTAAATCTGTAAACTTTTCATCCAGAGGAGTAGCAGTGTATGTAAATCTTACACTGTCAGAGAAATTAAAGTTTGCAAATGAATAGCAAATATGTTCAGACCTCCTTTAAGCTATTGGTCCATCAGTTTCAATATTTACAGCAGTGCTCGCTAAGAGTTCCCAAATAGTGAAAAAGGATGCCTTCTGCAGCAAGGAGCCTACAGTCTTAGGATTGACAAGTAGACAGGAGTTAGGAGAACATCAATAGACAATTTATATACAAATTAACTTGTAGGCAGCATAACAGAGCTTAAAAGTGAACCAGTCGGGGGCCTTGCAGCAGAGTTTAAAGAGGCCGTAGGAAGCATGGAAAGTGGTCTGGAGATGATTTGTGTGAGAAGATGATGGGGTGGATGGAGCCTAGAAGCTTTGGCAAGAAGCAGGAGGAGATGATGGGTGAGGCAAAGCTTGACAAAGGAGTATAAGTATTGAAGCAGAAATATATAGGGATTTGAAAATGATGACAGGCTGATTCTACGTAATTATTTCAGTGGTGTTTTGTTGAGGTGGCAATAAGATTATGACGGTGGTGAGACATGATGATAACTTTTTTTCTCCTAAGAAGTGGCTTTTCTTTTGTAACTGATTAATAGCATCCATACAACAGTGCTCGCTACTAGATACTTGCCAAGGTGACTTGGCATCCTTTGGCATCTCTGTGGATGATTGGGAAAGGAGTGCAGAATGCCTCCTGGGTTGGCGGAGTCAGCTTGCAGATGGAGTGAGGTGCTGCGAGGCAGACTAGATCAAGTTGTGTGATAACTGGCGTCAGAGGAGGAAAGATCTGCTGCTCAGATTCAAAGTATTGCTAGTGCATGGGTGTGCCCTACCTGTGAGCAGGACTGTCACTCACACACTGGACTCAGCAGCCATCACAGAACTCATTGACGCACACACCGTGCTCTGTAAAGAGCAACAGTGTCAATTGAATAGCACCAGCAAGAGTTTTCCAGAGTCTTTGTAGTCAGAATATGGAGACTTTGTAGTAAGAATATGGAGAAATATAACATCTCTTTATATAGAATTACATCTCTGCAAGTTGCAATGGGATGAAAATTCACTCTCCCTCTGTGTACAGTATGGGTGCATGTATCTAGGCTGAACTGCACTGGAATTAGCAACAGTGAAAAGTTTTTCTTATAAAAATTCCCATGTGTAGGCAAGGCCACAGACTTCACCTGTGTTCAATGTGAGGTTTTAGATCCTATGCCTTTTGCTTTAAACATGCAGACTTCTACCATTTACGCTGAAGAGAGTTCCTTCTTCTCTTGGCATGTAGCAACAGGACCCTTTAACACCTGTAATGTACAACCTGTTCTCCAAACCAAGGGGTTGCAACATGCCCATCTCATGCAGCTGACTGGTTTTCTAAAATGTGCTCTTTAGACTCACACCCCTGAAGACAACTTTAGCTTCTGCTGTCTCACAACTGACCAGTAGCTCTAGTCCAGTGGTTTTCAAACCACTTCACAGAACCCAGGGTTTCCATGACAGATCATTAGGGGTTCTGCAAAGAGATTGGGGCTAGTACAGAAATTACACACAAACCAGTATACGTGATTGGAAACAGGACTACACCTGTAACAGAGGTGAAGTTCAGTGCACATAGACCTGTTTAAAAATGGCAGAACTTGATTTAAGGTTGACCTGGATAAATGTAGTTTCAGATTTAATCAGTTTAGGTTAGACTGGTCTATCAAACTTCCTTTCCAGATTCCCTTCTGACTTAAGTGAGGTTGCAGTCCCCTGGTATCCCAAAATGCTTTGCGTGCCCCCACTCTGCTAACTCCCCCTTCGCAGGGCAGGTGGGCTAGCCTTCTCCAGTGCTCTTCTTCTCTGGCCACCCCACCAGGCTGTCACAGAGCTGAGGCAGTAAAACCTGCCTGCATTTGTCAGCCGAGTGGGGCAGTAGGGGGGAGGCAGGAGAACAGAGCCATCTCCCATCAAGCTGGGGTCTGCCCAGCTGGAGAGAGCTCCATATGACAAGGGTTTGCCCCTTGAGCTGCACAGTCCCACCCCCAGCAAATTGCTGCATCTGACCTCTGCCCTAGTCTCGATCTTCGCCTCCCAGCTGGGGTCTGCCCCCAGCTGAGGGGGCCATGCTGCAGGGGCTTTCCCCCACCGGGCCCTGATCCTCCCTGAGCTAGGGTCTGCCCAGCTGGGGAGAGCCCCATGCCACAGGGGCTTTCCGTCCGCCCCATCCCCCTGGCCTCCTCTGATAAGAGTAGGGGCTCCATTCCCCCCCCCCACTCCCCATGCTGCCATGGAGCAGGGGAGAAATTTTGTGCTGGTTCCCCCCTGTCCCTGCAGCTGACAGCAGGGGGTTGGGGTCATGTTTTTGGCAGCTATCAGGGATGGTAGAAGCTGTGCAAGCTGGGCTCGGCTGCCCTGGACAATGTCCGGTAGGTTGGGAGGTGTATGGCAGCGCCCCATGCCTTCTGAACTTGCCAGTGCAGGCATCTGCCTGCTTTCCTCAACCAAAGAGTGAACATGAGTTCTGTTCATTAATGGTCCAGTCTACACCGCTTAGAGAAACCCGCATAGATTGGATCGATTCCACCTCTGGCTTTTTGGACGTCTGTATTTAGATCCGGGTAATGGTGGAGTGGGCTGGGAAACACTTCGCTGCTACTGCCGGACTGGGTTATCTGGCTGTGCATGAGGTCACGTGGAGCTAGGGTAGCGGTTCCTCAGCAGAAGTGATATGAAAGGGTTCTGGACTTTAGGAAGTTTGAAAGCTGCTGCTCTAGCCACAGCTTTGCCTTCCGCTGCTCCTCCTGTTATCTTGCTTCTCCAGCCACTGTGATGCTCCAAGCTGCTGCTCTGCCCACCACTTGTTTCCTGTCCTTATCCTACCCTCAGCAGCCATGTCTTCCCTCCTAGACCGCCTCAGCCTTCTCCCAGCTGCTGTTGATTCTCCCCCTGAACACTTAGAGAATACTGCACAGTGTTTTCATGCAAGCTGGGAGCAAATCTGCCACAATAGCATTAACTCAGCACAGTACTAGCAGGCAGTGAATAGGCTATGGGAGGGCCTAGATTCTGTTCCTAGCTCTGCCTGTTGTGCAGTGTTGGACCAGGTATTTCCCTCCCCCTGTGCCTCTGTTTCCTGCTCACCCCTTGTCAATCTTGTCTATTCAGAGTGAGGACAGAGACTGTCTTGCTGTGTGAGTGTGCAGACTTAGCACAGTAGGGCCCAGTCTGGCTGGTGCCCGTTGGAGCTATTGTAATGCAAATTATGAATGCAGAAAAAATTCAAAACCTCCTTGAGACTCATTGGCTCTGAGGAACACAGCTTGCATTTGAAATGTAGTAGCCCTTTCTCCACAAGATGTGCAGGATCCACTAACTTATTTAATTCCTGTTGCTCCTAGTTACTCTTTCCTGCACTGTTATCTGCAGCTTCTTTCCTTTCCATCCACAGCCTGTGAAGCTACAGCTGAAAAATCTTTAACTCGGTAATATTCACTTTACTCATATAGGATAGTTTTACTCAAGTCTAGTAATTTTGCTTATTAACATGATTTTCAGGCTACAGAAACTGTAGTTAAAAGATGATGGGAGTGTTTCCAGATTCGTATAATCAGTATTTAAGTTATCTCAAGAAGGCTGACCAGCAAGTTATTACTATTCCAGACAAGCATTTTCCACCTTACCCTTTAAAATCAGGTTAGCCTTTCCATTGGAAGATTTCTTTCAAATAATTCCTGAAAGACTGTTTTGTAGTCATTCTGGTTGTGGCTGGACCAGTTAAATGTGCCTCAGCTGGCTGCAGTGACAAAACCACAATTTTAACAGGTTTCTGATGCAACTTTCCCACTGTAGGCCTTTTGTGTTAGACACTGCAGTTTCCTAGAAAAAGACACCATAATTACCATGCATGTCCTGGTTTTTCTTGCGTGCTGTCTATAGGTAAAGAAAAAGTTGCACCCAAGTGTGTTGATTGCTGTGACTTATTCTGAATACAACTGGTGTGGTAGGACTATGGTGGCTCAAAATAGGGGACGCGAAAGTTTAAAACAGAAAATCATGGCTAGAGTGTAATAGCGCAGGGACTTAGCAGCAGCACATAGACCTTTCCCTCTCTGGTTGTGTCTGCGCTAGGGCATTTAAGCCAAACCTTTTTACAGTTTCACCAGTGGTAGAAGCTGTGCATGTAATTGGTAGGAAAGACACCAGCGGCCCTAAGTTTTTACTCCGTGTTACATTGTCCTGCTCTGAGCAGAGCTAAATGAAGCAGCGCTTAAAAGCAGAGGCCATAGCTAAATTAGTATTTCATGGCTGAGTAACCCACCTGGACCTGACCTGGGCCACACCTCTGACAGCTTAGTGAAAAAAATGGAGGTTAAATTTAATCTGGGCCTGATTGTTTTGAACAAGTCAAAGCTTGGGATAATTTCAGGGCAGTCCTGTACGTACAGCTCAAATGATTAGCTGATGTTGTCCCAGAGTAAAGTGTTAATTTGGATACTTCACAGATACTTAATGTGAGGACAGTGGGCTTATCCCCCATAGGATCCCAGGGTAAAAGGATGTGTTCTGGGAGAAATCCAGTGTCTGTTTTTAACCCTACACACAAATGTACCATGCCCAAAGCAGTGCATTCAGAGGTACCTTGTTGGTTTGTGTAGGCTGCCCCTGAACTGGGAGCAATATACCTGCGTTTGCATAGTCCCAGAATGACATTGCCGGTTAGCCCATGCGTAGCCCCAGATAGCTTGTGGCTACACTGCTTGCAGTTTTGGAGGCGGACTGTATGGAGTCTGCCTCTACCAGGGCCATGACAGGCAGGTAAACCCTGACCACGTGCTGTCATGGTGCCACTGCTCCTGGAGTCTACATGGAAACCGGCTACAATGACACAGGCAGGGGCTACTAAGAAATGGAGTTTGTGACAGGCCCGATGCGGCCTGCGAGCCAGACTTTGCCTGCCCCTGCTCTATTCATCACCCTCCCTGCTATCCCACAGTAAGTGTTGCTGGCTTCAGTCCTGTACAATATGGAATGGTACCATCTAATGGCTGCTCAGTGTAGCCTATTTAAAACCTCAGTCATTACCTATCATTTTACTTTGTAAGAGCACAGCAGTTTGCAGTTATATTTGTTTGTGCTACCGCTAGATATGTTGTTTGTGTTTGATATGACAAATATAGGTAAACCAGTCTGTCTTATGGTGCACATAGACTAGAATTTAGGTACAATATAAAAGAATGAGAACAAACAAGGGGGAGGGCTGAGCAATATTATAGACATATGTGAAATAAGGTAGAAATTGGATAAGTTTGGTATACTTATTAATAACAAGGTTTAAAATATTTTTAGGTAATATTTTAATTACTTCCTTGCACGCCCTTTATTGGCAGCTCAACAGAGATGCCAGGGACTAAATAGGCAGGAAGCTTGAACTACACTTTGATCCGTGTTACAAGGGGTGCTTTGAAGCCTGGATGGAAACATTGATGGCCAGTGGTGAGAAGCATGCACTGTCCAATAGCTACAGTAAATATCCTGTGGCTAGATAAAGAAATGACTTGACTCTAACAGGACTGTTAGGCTCTGCTTTTCAAATTGTTTAGACCAACATTCTCAAAAGTGGCTTTTGTTACCCAGCTTTTGCAAGCTCATCTTGAGACCATTTGACTCTGGTTCTTAGAGGTGTTGTCCTCCTCCTTCTTTATATGGAATCAGTGATGGTGCTCAGCATTTCTGACAAAAACAACAAAGTCATCTCAGGCTGGGCACTCAAAATCACAAGCCCCATATTTGCCCATCACAGAAATAGAAACATGTAACTTTGGGGTTTCATGACTTTTCTAGATCTTTAGAAAAGTAAAAGTTTCCTTTTACTGTAGTATTTTTCACCTCTCCCTCTTCTGTCCTCAGAAATGACCAAAATGTATACATTCTGACCAAGAACCAATGTACACCAAGCTACCTAACTTTTTTATGTTCTCTTCTTTTGATAATATTCAAAGTAATAAGCAGAACATGAGTGGATTGATTAGATGACAGTCTGTTCTACTTTTTCTGTTCAGGCTGAATTCCACAGAGTATGGGGAGCTGCGGGAGAAACTCCGTGCTCCTATCCGTAATGCAGCTAATGTTGTGATCCATCAAAGTCTCAGTGACTTGTTTCTGGAAACCTTTACATCACTGGTGGAAATGAACCAGACGTATCCTGCTCCCAGCAATCAGGTGGGACTTTTTAATAAGCTGAGATTGTAATAATCATAGTTTGTGACATGGTCAATATTCCTATGGTCAGACTTGTGATTTAATGTACTTATATAATGACAGCCTTACAGTTCAGTAACTAACATATGAAAATCTAGCTGTTTTTTTTCTTTTCTTGCTCTTTCAACCAGAGGCCTGTGGGTGCTCATAAGCATAGAGAAGGCTGGGAGATGTTGTGATAGGGAACATTATTTTAATTGTAATATCCTGATTAGGTGCTACCTGAGGAATTTGAAAATGGAGTTTGCAGGTGGTGTCCAGCAAGCTAGAGTCAGAACTCTAATTAATAATTGAAACTGATATGCATGACAATTAGCTTTGGCCAGTCTAGCACCATTACAGCTAAGTTTTCAGGAGAACTAGGTTGCATTTAGACCTTATTCTTTAATATTTGGCATGATTTCTAAATTAGATCTTCCTTTCTTAGGACTCAAAATCACATCAATCAAAGGCCAGGTTTCAGTGCGTATGTCTCCCCTTCAGGAACAGGTGCATTGGCAGGGAATGCAGACATACCTAAGCTAGTTGTAATCTAGCTAGCTCTGGTAGCAATGCAGTGATGATATCATAGCATGAGCTTCAGCTGCCTGAGTAAGTACCAAGGGGCCTGAGCAGGCTTGTGCAAGGTGTGCTGTCACATCTTTCCATCACTGGTATCCAAGCCAGCAAGATCATAACAAGCTTAGGTGTGTCTACACACGCTGCAGTTATGCATCTGCAATGCTGACATAACTAACAGAAACAAGTCTGCAGATTCAAGTTGTGCATAAATAACTGTTGCGCTAAGAGAGAGTCACTTTATTGCAGACCTTTTACCTTGTACAAAATTTAATGTAAACTATTTGGACTTGTGGCTTTTGGTTTGATACCTGATGAAGTAAGCAATGATTTATATTACAAAATAGAAACAGTGGTTTTAGTGCAGGGGTGGGCAATTATTTCGGGAGGAGGGCTGCTCGCTGAGTTTTGGCAAGCCATTGAGGGCCACAAGACAGGCAGCCGGGGCAGATAAGTATGAATTTTCTAAATTTTTTAGGGGCCCCATGGGCCAGATAGAATGGCCTTGCAGGCCACATCTGACTCGCAGGCAGCATTTTGCCCACCTCTGTTTTGGAGGTTAAAGCATAGACACAGAAATAGGGAGAATCTAGGGTTTTTCCCCGGCTCAGAAACTTTGAGTGATTTGAAGCAAGTTACCTAACTGTTCAGAGCCCCAGTGTTCCCCACTTGTAAACTGAAAATAACTCATTGGCACAGAAAGTGTTAGGATGATTTGAGTATAAATAATGTGTGGTCCTTGCACAATACTTTCCACTTATGGATCTTAAATTGTTTTACAGAGTAGAGCAGCTATAATCATGCCCACTTCAGAGATGAGAAGATTGAGGCACAATGTTAAGTGACTGGCCCAGGGCTGTACGAATCACTGATAGAGCTAAGGGCGGAACCCAGGTGTTCTTTCTCCCAGTCTTGTGCCTTGTCCTATCTGCTGGGCTGTGTGAGGTGGTTTGAAAGCAGAAAGCCCAGTTGAAATGCAAAGAATTACCATTTTCCTATAAACGTTACATTTTTTGGCCTTCTCTATTTCTGTAGGAGCTGGAGCCATGCATCGGGTGTATGCAGACTAATGCAAACATCAAGCTTATAAAGAACTGCCAAGAGCCAAATGAAGGAGAATGCCAACAATGCTACTGTCGCCCAATGTGGTGTTTGACCTGCATGGGCAAATGGTTTGCCAGCCGACAAGATCAGCAGCACCCAGAGACCTGGCTTTCAAGCCAAGTGCCTTGTCCAACCTGCAGAGCCAAATTTTGCATTTTAGATGTTTGCATTATACGATGAATAGTGTCTTGGTATAGTTTACCTTTCGAAATCTGAATGCGTTTCACAGCAGGGTTTGATACAAGCCCTATTAGATTCCTTGTTCTGCTGGAAAAGTAGAAACTCTGTTGTTTCCCCTTCAAAAAGGGCTTGAAAATGTCAGCCTACCATCTTTATTTTCACTGTGCTTCTAAAGTTATCCTCAGTTTTTGTTTCCTAAAACACCAGTTTACATTCTAGATTGCTGAATTTTTTTTTGGTATTCTTAATTTCTTTTGGACCACACTTTAAAGCAGTGGTGACCCATTTGCTTTTCATTTTGGATGAAATCCTGGTATTCTAACTTTATTTTAAATGCTAGTCTAGTTAAAGGGTTTAAGCACAAGTGTTTTTAGCAAAGGGCTTTTTCCTTATCCTAAGCAAATTGCTATTGTTAAGGCTAATAGGCTAAAAATCTTCTACCTTTCTTTATCTTTAATTCATTTCCAAAGCCTATTGTTAACCTTTGTGAGCTTTCACTAAAAGAGATATCTCAACACTGTATTTCTTTTTCTCCTATCCCCCCCATCAGAACAGGGCTTTAGAACTTTGGGGCCTGAGTTTTCTTATCTGTAGTAGTACATGTGACACCTGTGCTTCTTTTTTATTCTGTTCTGCTCTGCCCTCGTGTTTACAGACATTTTTAACATGCAAGAAAGGTTTATTAGTATGTTATATGTAGATCATTCACCTAAACTGCTATTGTTTCTGCATAGAGTATCTTCTAGTTAAATACTTATGTCCCAGAGCTGTTTTACTTGGTAAATCAACCCTCTTCAGCTGATAGAATTTATGACTTTTACCTATATTTGGAAGGAAAGCAGCAACAACCTTAATTATTTTAATAATGCAAAAGAGTGTTCAACTACTTCCAAACCTATAGCCTTTTCCTAAGAAACAGGCTTCACCATGGATAGGATTTTGGGACAAGATAAGGACATATATCCATGCTGGATGTTTCAAGTCTGTCAGCACTGAAATGGCTTTTCAGATTGGCACTTTATTTATTATTTTCAAGCCTAGTTATAAGCATGTCTCACTGTTTTACAATAATAAGAGAATTTTGCTCAGCTCTTAGGACGGGTCTCCATCAGAGTAATTTGTAAACAGATTTTGAACTATCGATAGCAAGAACAGAAATGAGTGTAGATGGGCCTAGATTAGACAACACAGCTACACTGCCTGTGTCCTGCTTATGCCACTGCTTCTATCACTACTGCTGCAAATGGAGTGACACCAATGCAGAAAAACACAGAGTGGGTTTTTTTCCTGTTACAGACAAGACCTAAGTATTAGTCTGTCTTTCTGTACTGCCTTGTCCAAACCAGCTTTCTTAATACCTCCAACTGGTGCCACCCTCCAATGGGAAAGGTACTAAAATCAATAAAGTGTCATTAGTAGGAAGCACTTAAATCACTGTGTCATATAGGACTGCTTTGGACTGGTATAGAGTGTAGTTTGAAAAATGGTACCAGTAGGGGAGCTGCAATAATGAGAGATTTAATTAAAAACCTTTATGGGGTATAGACTTAAACTACTTAGAGCCTGGCATACCAAGTAATGGTAATAAAAGTGCCTGAAGTTTACATTGTGGAGAGGACTTGTGAAAACACAGGTTGATATTTCAGTCATAAAACACACAACATAAACCAGTTTTTTTTATTATATATTTGTAAATGGCAAAACTGCTTTCTTTTAAGTAGGATAATCACTTGAGCAGGCATCATAACTGTTACACTCATACTTTTTATTATGCAATACTTGCTATTATTTCTCCCATACATTAAATAATAATAATCGTTTTCTGGGCATGCATCATAACTGTTATGCATCATATGCAACTGTTATGATATGCATCATAATCCTTTTCTGGGCAACCATCATAACTTGAGCATGCATCATAACTGTTACACTTGCACTTTTTATTATGCAATACTCACTATTATTTCTCCTATACATTAGTTAATAATAATTCTTTTCTGGGGCCTATATTTCAGCAATAGCAGATCATATGGAGTAGAAATTTGACATAGAGGCTGGCAGATGGGTTTGAGTCTCTTGCACCAAAAAAAAATAAGTGACATTTCCATTTTTATTTTAATAGAATCAAATTAAATTGCTTAGCTTCAGATAGGTTTGTGCTTAGTCTGAAATTATACAAAGTGTTAACCAAAAGTTTAAAATATTCTCCAATGATTCATAGGGAGGTAAGTCCTTTTGAAATTGTGTTAGCAGTATTCTAACCTACAGTACACCACTATACATAACTGAATTTTGCTTTCTGATATGTATCTCTGCCCCCCACTTTGCCGTAATGTTTGTAGATAAAGATAATACGCCTCTTATTTCAGTCAAGTTTGCAAAACAGAAGTTGGAGGGGGTATGATTTTTGGAGGAGTTGCCGAAGTAAAAGTCTGAACTCTGGGCCCCTTTGAAGAGAAAAATAGAGGGCATGAAGGTATCGGGTTTTGTATCAGTGGAGGACAGAGAAGCAGAAAACGAGAATGTCCTCTGTGATGGCCACCCTAGTCGCATCCCACTATGTCCTGATAACCTCTTCAAGCACAAAACCAATATTTAGGAATTGTTTTCATGACTCATCTTTTAAAAAACTAGCCAAGCTCATTTTGTGATGTGGTGTAAAATATTTGTTTCAAAATAATAATTACTTTGAAACTGGGATTTACAATGGACAAATTTCTAGAAGCACATGTTCCCGTACATCCATAACCATGTGTACACAGAGATTCCCAATTCCCACTCTCTCTGAAGCTGGGCATGCATTTCTAAAAATCTGTGGACCTCAGCTAGACAAGGTTCTTTGGGTAAATCTGGTATCTTTTATTAGACCAGGTAAAATAGTTGGAAAAATTCTTCTTTGCAAGCTTTTTTTTTTGTATCCAAAAGCTTGCAAAGAAGAATTTTTCCAACTATTTTATCTGGTCTAATAAAAGATCTGAGATTTACCCAAAAAACTTTGTCTGCCTATGTCCTTAGACCAACACAACTACAACCAGCACCCCTGAAACATAGGCTTTAGCTTCACTTTTTCATATCATTGCTAGACTTGTAGCATCTACAATCCAGGATATTTTGGTGTGAAGAGTGTTGCCCGTTCCTTATTGCCAAACCAGACATACTGTTCTGCAAGAGCCCTTCTCAGCAGGTCTGTCTTTCTGTCGTGTATTAGATGTTCTCTGTTTTTGTGTTGTGTATTAAATCTGTGTTACAATGAAATTGCAATAATGAGGCTTTGTATAACTTGAAACCAAAATACATGGTCCAAAGGCAGAGGTCCGTTATGCAGTCACTCTGATTTGAATATTTTTGCTGTATTAAATCTCTGTGTATACAGGCAGCCCCTGCTTAACGCTGTTTCACTTAGCGCTAATCCACTATAACGCTCATTTTAAATTGATACCTGATTTTACTTAGTACTTAGCGAGTTTTGTTATAACGCTCATAGTCATCTTGGGTCATTAAAAACAACTGCAGTTGCCATCTTGGGTCATCAGATATTTTCAGTTTCACTTAACACTCGGTTTTTCAGGAACCAATTAAGAGCGCTAAGCAGGGGTTGCCTGTGCCCCAAAGCCAGGTTAAACCTGACTTGCCTCCCATGAAGTCCTCAGTGCAACTTCTCAGGCTGGACATGAGTTTGATTTTGGAGCTGTATTTGGGGCTAATGCCCGTTGAGGATCAGTTTAGTTGGTGCGAGTTCCTCACATATGTTATAAAACACTTTCTTCCAAAGACTTAGTGCATTTTTTTTAACTGAAATTTTTATATACTTTTAAAAACACTACCACTTTATTGGATCAGTCTTTGAGAGGTTTAATGACATTGAAGTAGGTCATCTTAAAACTGTTTCAGAGGCAAATAAAAGATCATTTGATTTTCAGGTTCCTGGTTTCATTTTATTTCTTCCCAACTGAAGCACAGCTGGAGACAGAACGGGGTGATTTGGAGGGAAATAACCTGCCTGAGTCAGGGGCCTGGTGTCACATGGGCAGGACGGCCACGCTTCACTGCAGGGTCAATGCTGCCCATGTCGTCCCCCAGGCTCAGGGGCTTTCTGGGTGCAATGGGCACTAGTCTTCAGCCAGTGCTTTAGTGTGGCAGGGTTTCCCTGAGCTGCTCACAAGGAGAAAGCTTTTAAATGCGTCCGACCACGAGCACTTCCGGGTTGAACCTCTCCCCCCGCCCCCCCAGTTCAGCGGCATACGGGAAGACCCAGACTTCCGACCACGCGTGGCCGCGCGCTCCCGGGGGCCCGATTAATGCCAATAGTGCGCATGCGCGTCATTGGGCCCGGAGGAAAGCAGGTGACGCATGCGCACGGTGCTGTCAGTCTCCTCGGCGGAGCGCCGGTGGCGCGTGCGCGCTAGCATTCCGGGGGAGCCCGGCTGTTCCAGCTGTTGCCGGGCAATGTTCCGCCGGCAGCAGCCCAGCGCCCCGGGCGGCCCGCGCAGGTGGGGGAGGGGGCAGTTCTGTGGTCGTTCGTCCGGGGCAAGGGCTTTATATTGGTGGCAAGGGAGGGAAGAGCTGGCAGCCGGGGTGGGTGGTCCATGCCCAAGCACTGGCGGGTCTTGCCGGGGTAGGACGTGGCTTGAGACCCCTCTGGGCTGCCAGGGCCCTGCGGGCTGTGCAAGTCTTTGTGTCTCTCGATCTCTTTCCTCCCCTCCCTCCTCTTTTGGGGGAGAGCGATGGCGGGGAGCAGCTCGGTGCCCGACACAGTGACGTTCGCGGGGGCATTTTGCACCCCACCAGCCGACTCTCCGGGTTTTGGGCAGAGCAGCCGTTGTTGCAGCCCAGTAAGTTGATGGTGCAATAAGTTTATCCCGCTTGACTCTTAAAAGAGACTCGTCTTTTCTAGCGCTGCGCAACCTTCAGCCCTCTGGGCCCAAGGACAGAAGCGCAGGAGCTGGAATGACTTGGGTTCCTCTGCCTTGGATGAATGTCGCGGTGGACGCTTGGACGACAGGGTAGAGAGGTGCGCCATGTCGGTTGAATCATAGAGAAGTAGGGCCAGACAGGATTTCCAGAGGGCACCTGCTCCAGCCCCCTGCCTGAGGCGGGATCATCCCTATCCAAGCCATCCCATACAAACCATCATCTGAATTCTACACAAGACTACTGTCGACCCTGACACATAGCACCCTAACCTGCCACAGGTAAAGCAGGGAACCACGGCAGCCAACAGCCCTGCTTCTGTGAAATGTCAGTATAGGCTCAAGAGAGCCCAGGTAGAGGGCCACCCCTGGCCCTGCTGCAGAGGAAGGCAAATCTGTACCCCTGTGATCATGGGGTAAAACTCCATCCTGAATTTCTGTGTTTCTGATTGTGATGTGAAAAGATTGTTAGGGGTTCAGTTACTTGAGTTACTAAAACACCCCCAAATGAAGTACAGTTGTCACTTCTTTTTTTTCTTCAGAAACACAATTTTTGGACTTTTTTATTACATTTAATAAACCATGTTTAAACAAGTAGCATAAAACCAGCAAACAATACATCTTTATAATACTGTGCTGTTGTTGTAGACATGATGGTCTAGGAATATGCAATAAGTAGGATTTGTTTGGTCAATAAACCATTACCAAACTGTATAGTAGGGAGAGATGTTAGATGAACTTTTGGACACAAAATGCTCTTCTTCAGGTCTTCTTTCCCTGGCCAGAGAGAAAACATTTTGTGCATGCAAGCTTGTCTAACATTTTTCTAACACCTCTTTTAACATTGGAGTTGTTCCAGCAAAACATCTTACCAAAATAAATCTTGCTTCTCCTATATATAGATAACACCTCTTATATGAGAGCTTTCAGTCTGTCTACCTAATTTATTATATATGTGTAATAACATCAGGAAGCACTCTACTCAAAGAAGGGGAGAAATTTATGCCTGGTGAAGTGGTAATTTGAAACCATTATTTGCTGGTATCTTTGAAGTTTCATCTGTAGTGGTTGAACATTTCTATAAGAAGCAGTACATTTTTGTGTGTTGTTGCCATATCCTTTGCTGTGATTGACGACAGCCATGAGATAAAATTGGCAGTCACTTACTTTACTAATATGCTGACTGTTCAGTGGCACCATAATATGGAAGTAAAAGTTTATTTCCTTGATATCCTTATGGGGGCACCACTTAGAATGATGCGAGATGAGGTGGCTTTTGTTCCACGTGTTCTCCATTTTGCTTATTTTTGGATGCCTGGCAGGGGAAATGGTGAAGCTAAATATGTAATCCTTGATGGTTGGCAGTTAACACAAAGGGAATGGAATGGAACACAGGCTAGAAGAGATTGAGTTCTCACTGGCTAGCAAACTTCCTGGTAGACTTTGGATGAGGACAGAGAATGTGGAAAGGCAGAACCTAAACCAGTATAATTTATATGGCTAGTTTTATCCCTGATTCCTTTAGGCATACTTCTCCATTGGATTAGACAAAGTTACCCAGACTTAGGAACTTGTATCTGTCCATTTATATATATATATATATATATATTTATATATCTTTTTACAGTGGCATAAAAGTTTCATCTGTTGATGTCCTTTGTCCAGTTCTAAGTACCACATTTCTAGAGTATTTTGTACAGTTTTGAGTATTGTGTTGCACAAGTTATGGGAGAAACGGTATCAAAGGAAATATGGAAAAATGATAAATGCATCTCTTGATTATAACTGAAGAAAGGTTAGGAAGAATCCAGTATGTACTAGCAGAGATTCTTGAGTCTTTAGGAATAGTCTCCACATAAAAAATACTTAAATTATTTGAGGGTAATATGGAGACCTTGACACAAATGTGCATATAGTGACACCACCTTCAATATCTGGTAGTTTAAGAGGAATATGTATCCACTCAGTCTTTGCATTATACAGAACTCAAGTACCTCTTTGTTATGACCAGCACCATGTATCAAGTACTGAAAAACAGGAACAAGAGAGGATATGCTTGATGGATAACATGACAGCACACAGAGGTGGATTTAGTGGACAAGGGATTACCATGAGAAAGGTGGGCAGAGGCGCATAGCCAAAGTATGGCTGAAAAGTTAAACGCTACTTAGTTGGTTGAGAGAAACTCTTCACTCTACCTCTTATGTCCTGCAAAGTTGCAGGATACTCATAGAATTGGAACTGCTTTGGGTGTCAGATTGTACAGCTTCCTAAGAGAAGAAAAACGTTGGGGAAACTCAAAAGAAAAATGGTTAATATTGCATTAATAACTTTAAACTGCTCCTGTTGTGGGATCCCGTACTACTTAAAGAGGATTTCCCTCCTAATTATGTCCTTGCTTTGCTGCTGATGGCAGTGTTCCTTAAAGTAATTTTAAATTTTACATTACTTTTCAGTCCCACAAACCTGGGATATTAAAGAGACCCTAAAGTGCTGTCAGTTAAATGACAAATTAGGAGGAAAAATTTGGCAAGAGATGCTTATGGTATCTTAATTATTTTCCAGCTTTCCATCATTAGAAGGTTCTAGGTCCCTTTCAAGTTGTTCAGACAGGGGAAACGTAGCTGAAGAAAGCAAAACCATGAAGAGGTTGGACAACAAAAAAAATGGAAAGTAGGTATCATATAATCACTTAATAACAATAGTTTGCATCTTTTCTGCCTTTGTTTTGGGATCTCTGAGCACTTTTCATACATTAACAAAGTCTTTGTAAATATGGGTAGGAAATAAGTCAGTAATATTATCCTGGATCTTGACTCTTCTCTTCCCAATGTGTCTTGAATTTCTCAATATTGAGTTGAACCTTTAGGCCCAAATAAATTCTCAAACTCTCAATTCAAAATGAAACTTGAAGGCAGTGAGAAATTCTCTTTGGAACTACTTCAAAAATCACTGGCAACATCATCCCAAATTCTGTTGCTTTTAAACAGCACATTGCTTATTCGTAAGGTACAGTAGGTTTTCGCTTGAAGTATCTTCCAGTATATAAGGAATTTTCCTTTTCTCTTTGTAGCTTCATAGTTTCAGAGAAAGCCATAAAATGATTTAATCTGGCCTCCTTATAATACAGGCCAAGTTTTCACTTGCATCCTGCTTTATGGAGACCTATAACTTAAATTCGTAGGAGAATGTTATGTGAGCACATCAGCTACCAGTGGTTTCCTTGTTTCAGAACTAACCTTCAGTTCCCGGTATGGTACTTTGATAGTCTGCAAATGTGGGCTAACTTGCATGTTAAATCAAAAATAATTACTTCATCGGGGGGACAACCTGCATCATCTCTTAATTCTAGTTTTTCATCTGTTTCACCCCAGTGACATCAATTTCCTTTATTTACAGAAGTGAAAATGAGAGGATCATGCCTAATGCTTTTAAGTTTCTGTAGCTCTAGTGTATAGTATAAAAGCTATGGCTTTGCATTTCAACTATATATTTTTTCCTAGCTCTGTTTCAAATGACTCTACCAAACCAGTGGAAAGGGAAACGGATGAAGTGGTTCTGAGGAGAAGACAAAAACAGATCAATTTTGGGAAAAACACACTTGCGTATGATAGATACATTAAAGAAGTTCCAAAGTAAGTTGCAGTTATGTGCATTATACATTCCTGTTGTTGAATTTCCACTTACAGTTGATGTGTGTGCAGATCTTGCATGACTGGGTTTTAAATCAAAGTACCGTAAAATGAATCTGCCAGATTTGCATAAAAGTAACTATTTTTTTGAATGGCCAACTTAAATGGGGATTTTATACATCTGAGTAAACAAATAGGAAAGCAGATCTAGGCAAAAACAGGCATTGATTCCACTGTAGGTACCCATCACAAAGCCCTTATCCTTGCATTTCTTTCTGTTTGTGAACCTGCCACAAAGGCTAAGTCAGGTATTCAAAAAACCTGAACCTGAATCAATTAAAGCTTTGCAGGTTAGTCTAACCTGCATAAATTGAACCAGCAAGCAAGTGAATAGATGTTCACTTTTGATTCTGGAAATGCCTGCAGTGGCCTACCATATGGTGGCTGCCTACAGACTCGTTAGGGGAGATCAGCAGCATATAGGAAGGGCCCTATTCCCCCAGTAGCACCTGGGGTGACGAGGAACAATGGCCAGAAGCTGCTGGAGAATAGGTTCAGGTTAGAGATTAGGAGGCACTATTTCACTGTTAGGGTGGCTAGGATCTGGAACCAACTTCCTAGGGAAATGGTCCTCACTCCTACCTTGGGTAAATTCAAAAAGAGGTTGGATGAACACCTGTCTGGGGTTGTGTGATCCCAGCATGTTCTCCAGCCAGTGGCGGGGGGTTAGACTAGATCAGGTCCCTTTTGACCCCAAACTATTATGAAACTATGAAACATGCCTACGGTGGCTTGGGGCAGAAGTTGGGGGGCACTAGAGCAGGCCCTTGGCTGGAGGGAAGCTGAGCTGGGGGGGCAGGGGGTGTGGCCAGGCCTGGGCAGGCTGAGTAAGACTGGGGAGCAGTTTAAACTAGAGGTACACTGATACATCGGTCCCATATCGTATTGGCACCGATATAAGGAAAGTTGACATTATCGGAAATCATTTTTTTTTGCCTGATGCAGCTGATAATGTTGCCGATAAATGCCACGTGCAGCCACTGCAGCATGTCAGCATGAAAAGCAGCATCCAGCTGGTATGCTTGTTGTGAGGGAAGGGGTCTTGGGAAAGAAAGGGCCATTGGGGGGTGGGCAGACTGAGGCCCCCGCAGTCAGGGTGGGAGTGGAGCTGAAGCATGGGCAGGCGCTGCACAGCTGGAGCATGACAGGGCGGGGAGCGGGACAGAGCCACGTTTCATCTGGGGGATGGCTCCAGCTGCTGTATGCACCCCAGGAGGGCATGGGGGGTATGTGCCCCTGGATCTGTGCACAGGGCAAAGGCGGGCTGCTGCTGCAGGCTGGGGCAGTGCCAGGCTCTTCATGGAGTGGGGACTGGACTGGGGCTCCGCTCGAGGTGGGTGGCCAGGTGGGGAGTTGTAGGGGAGGCTAGTAACCCCCAAATTCACCATAACCCCAGTCACAGTGCCACTGCCTGCCCCGAGCGCAGACCTGGCCTATCCCCACCCCCCCACCAGGAAGAGCCTGGTGCCACCCCCAGCCTCAGCCCACAGTGGCAGCCCACCCTCACCTTGTGCACAGATCTGGGGGGCATGTGTCCCCCATGCCCTCCTGGGTTATGTGCAATGGTGAGAGCCACTCCCCTCCCACCAGCATCCCCCGGACGACCCCACCCCACTCTGGCTATGCAGCCCCAGCCTCAACAACACTTCCTTCTTCACTGCGGGGGCCTCGATCTACCCATCTCCCTTCGCCCATTCCCCCACAACAGGCTTACCAGCTGGATGCTGCTCTCCAAGCTGCTGTTCTGCATATCAGCAATCAGATCGATATTGGCCAGTATGGCTGTTTAAAAATTGGCCCTTGGTATCAGCCCAGAAAATCTCTATTGGTGGATCCCTAGTTTAAACCTCCACCCTGCCCTGCGTGGTCCCCGGTCAGGGCATCAGATCTAACACCTGAGAAGCCCTGAATACAGCATACACAGCTTTACTTTTAACTTTCGCTGTCTCCTGCAAGAGGGTTAAGCTGCAGAAATTGCTGTTACTATATTTCCTCAAATAGCATGCTCACTCCAATTTCCAGCAGCTGAATTTCAGGAGAATAGGTGTGTGTTGTATGTGATAAAATACAGTATGTTTTAGCCTAGGTATAATTCCTTGCTTTTTATTCCTTCTTGACCCCACAGAAGATCTACTCTAAAATGAACCAAGAAAAACAGGCATGTTTTTCTTGGTGGTTAAAGAACGGCTGCGCCCTCAAGAGATCATCGGCAGGCAGGATCTTGAGTACGAGAGACAATGATGTTGCCCCTAATTGCGCAGTGCCCCCCTAACCTCAACTTGGAGTAACACTGGTTCAGTGTTCACTCTTTCAAAGCATACCACCTATTGAATTGCAACGCTGCCTACAGCCTCTGGATAGTCTTTTTGAAATCCCCACAGTCTGCACAGGAAGTATAACAATACCTGTTGCAATAACTTCCTGTATTATGCAGTAGTAACTCTTAACCACATACTCCCATGTTTGGTATGTTTGTCTGTGTCCGTGATGTATCAGTTATAGAATTGGACTCTGAGTATACAGACATGTTGATGTGGTTGTTTGTGTAGGAACCAGCGGATACCAGGAGTTCACCCTAGGACCCCCAACAAATTTAAGAAGTACAGCCGCAGATCCTGGGACCAGCAGATCAGGCTGTGGAAGATAGCACTTCATGCTTGGGACCCCCCTACTGAAGAAAGCTGGGACCTGCAGCCAATGTGTGTATGGATGAAGTAGCCTGCAGTCTCTTATTCCTGTTTCTTAATGGCCTTGATTTTGTTTTCTTTAAGCCTTACCTAAATTGGTGGGGGGGTGGGAATCTGTCCCAGGCTCATGTAGGGGTCTACCACACTCTCCAGTTGTATCCTGTTTCATTATATTAATTTTCCTCAAAATAATTTAAAAGATTTTTCCTAATGTTTAGCCTAGATATATCGCCAAATAATCCTGTGGGGAAAGGAGTTTTCGGTAACCCTTGTGGCAGCCATCTCTTCCCCAAGGGCAGAAAGGAAATGCACTCTTTTGAGGAAGTTTCAGGTAACTTAAGGCTTTGCTATTGCTGTTCCTGGCATTTGGACTTGATAGTAGTGTTCCCCTCTTTCCTATGCGAGTCATACAGTAAAAGTTTCTGGATCACAGTGAAGAAACTGCATAGGCCTCCCCTTATATTATTAGAGAATTTAAGGGGGTGAGGGGCACTTTTACACATGCTCCAACACGTTCAGATTAGAACACATTGGAGCAGACTCGATTAATCATAGAATCATAGAAGTCAGGTCGGAAGGGACCTTGTAGATCTTCAAGTCCGACCCCCCGCCTGGGCGGGAGAAAAGACTGGACTCAAATGAGTCCAGCCAGGTAGTCATCAAGTCTCTTCTTAAAGATCCCCACGGTAGGAGCCAGCACCACTTCCCTAGGAAGTTGGTTCCAGCTCCTAGCTGCCCTAGCTGTGAAGTAGTTCTTGCAGATGTCTAATCTAAACCTACTCTCCACTAATTTGTGTCCATTGTTCCTTGTCATGCCAGGGGGCGCTAGGGGAAACAGTGTCTCCCCCAAACCCTTCTGGTCCCCCCTAGTGAGTTTATAGACAGTCACCAGGTCCCCCCTCAGCCTTCTTTTGTGGAGGCTGAACAGGTTTAGGTCCCGCAGTCTTTCATTGTAGGGTCTGCCCTGTAGTCCCCGGATCATGCGGGCGGCCCTCCTCTGGACCCTTTCAATGTTGTCCACATCCCTCCTGAAATGGGG